TTGATATTCTTTTTTAAAACTATATATCCATGTGTTAGGAAGCATGTATTCAGCTACAAATATTGTTCTGCTAGCTCTAGTTCTATAAGGAATGGGAATGGACTACAATAAGCTCTGGAGTCATTGCCAGTACTCAGTGTGAGTCTCAACCAATAGTTTGGGTTTGCCAGTTGTGGTCTAGTACTCATAGAAGTGGGAGGTACAGAAATGACAATTTTCCACCCTGGTGGTAACTATCTTACCAGTTCATAATCATAAAGAGGGTACCAATTCTGTCTCTACTGGTACCATAGTAAAGACCATTATTCCATAAATTCTCAAGAACTGCAGAATAGTGAAGCTATGGAGATCTACAGCCTCTGTGATATTTGGCACAATTCAACAGCATTAAGTCCAAAATAAGATTTTTAAATTAGATGTAAAAAGATGCAGTGATGAATCAACTGCAAGAGAAGTTAGGAAAACATTCCCATTCATGATAGCTGAGGCTAACAAAAGGAGTGAAACACCTCTACAGTGAAAACTACAGAACTCCAAAGAAAGAACCTAAAGAAGACCTTAGAAGATGGAAAGATATCCCATGTTCTTGGATAGGCAAGATTAATACTGTCAAAATGGCCATCTTGGGCTGGGGCTGGGTCTCAGTGGTAGAGCACTTGCCTAGCATGTGTGAGGAACTGGTTTTAATTCTCAGCACAGAATATAAATAAAGGTCCATTGGCAAATAAAAAAATATATACAAAAAAATGGCCATTTTACCAAAAGCACTATACAGATTTAATGCAATTTCCATTAAGGTTCCAATGACATTCTTTATAGAAATAGAAAAAGCAATCATGAAATTCACTTGGAAAAATAAGAGGCCCATAATGGCCCAGCAATTCCTGGCAAGAAAAGTGAAACAGAAGGTATCACCATACCAGATCGTAAATAATATTACAGAGCTATATTAACAAAAAAAGTGATTGATATTGACACCAAACCAGACATGATGACCTAGACATTAGAACAGAGATCCTGAACCTAACAGAAGAAAAAGAGGCCCAACTCTACATGTTGGCTTAGGAACCAAATTCCTCAACAAGACTCCTAAAGTGTGAGAAGTAAAATTATGAATCAATAAATGGGATGGTATCAAACTAAAAAGCTTCTTCACAGCAAAGGAAACAATCAAGAATGTAAAGAGAGAGCCTACAGAATTGGAGAAAAGCTTTACCACTTGTACCTCAGATAGAGCATTAATCTCCAGGATATATAAAGAACTCAAAAAATTTAACACCAAAAAAAAATCAATCCAATCAATAATTGGGAAAGGAACTGAAAAGACACTTCACAGAAGAAAAATGATCAGTCAAATATATGAAAAAGAGTCAACACCTCTAGCAATTAAAGAAATGCAAATTAAAACTACACTGAGATTCCAACTAACTCCAGTCAGAATGGCAATTATCAAGAATACAAGTAACAATAAATGTTGGTGAGGATGTGGGGGAAAGGTACTCTCATACATAGTTCTTGGGAATTGCAAATTGGTGCAACCACTCTGGAAGGTAACTTGGAGATTCCTCAGAAAATTTGGAATAGAACCACCATTTGACCCAGTTATCTCATTCCTTTTGCATATACACAAAGGACTTAAAATCAGCATATTACAGTGATGCAGCCACAACAATGTTTACAGCAGCTCAAGTCACAATATCTGAGCAATGGAACCAATTTAGGTGCCCTTAAACAGATGAGTGGATAAAGAAAATGTGGGGGAAGAGGTGTCAATGAAAATATTTTACAATTGACTGCAGTGATAGATGCACAATTCTGTAAACACTAAAAGGCACTGTAAAACTTTAAACAGGTGAATTGTATGGCATGTGAATTGTATGTCAATAAAGCTGCTTAAAAAATGTGGATATAGGCAACAGGTCAAATGACCTTGGCTACATTCAAATAAAATTTTATTTTTAAAAACTGGCTGTAGTTTTCTGACACCTGTTACTGAGTAACAGAATCCCCACCCCATTTTTAAAGGTGGGCATTGGTTTACAAGGAAAACAAATACTACTTTTCCCACTTATCTTGTAGAAGTTTGTGTATAATTTTTGGGAATTGTCCTTAAATGGAAGAGGTGGGCTTTTCTTGGAATCCCTTAGTCCTTTCCCTTCACTGAAATGACAAGAGCCTTAGGAGTCATCATGGATGAAAAAGTGATTTTGGAAAACAGAAGCCTAATATAGTGGGACAATAAGATAGCAAGTACCTGGAGTCCTCACTCAATGAAACACCATATTAAACTAAGCTGATTTCATCCAGACTTCTATATGAAGGAAAAAAATTAATTGTCATGTTTAAATAACTATGTGGGGGTACCGGGGATTGAACTCAGAGTCACTCGACCACTGAGCCACATCCCCATCCCTATCTTGTATTTTATTTAGAGACAGTGCCTCACTGTTGCTGAGGCTGGCTTTGAACTCGCAATCCTCCTGTCTCAACCTCCCAAACCACTGGGATTACAGACATGCAGGTTTAAATAACTCTTATTTTGGAGATGTGTATTACTCCATGCTCACAACTAAACCTAATTTCAACTACTATAGCCCCCAAGGAATGTGACCATTCTTTTACACCTGGACTTTTTGAGGAACATTTAAGATCCAAACTACAGGAGCTGCAAAGTCTACAGCATTATCTCCTACATAAGAGTCTAAGGCACAAACAGATCTAATGTTCCCTACCCCCACAAAAGATCTTTGATCCAGAGTCATACTCTATTATGAACTGAATATTTGTATCCCGCAAACCCCATTCATGTGTTAAAGCCCTAATCTCCAGTGTGACTATATTTGGAGATGTGGCCTCTAGGGAGTAATCAAGGTTAAACGGGGTCATCAGAATGGATCTTTGCTTTCTACCTCTCCCTCCTTTCCTCTAGCTCTCTTTGCCTCATCCTTTTTCTCTCTTCTTAATCTGGCACAGTGAAAAAGCTATGTGATGACATAAAGCAGTCCTCTGCAAGACACTAAAAGTGCCTCTCACCAGAAAGTGAATTTCTTATAGATGATTACTCTGATATCAGAGTAATCACCTATAATATTCCTGCATATTTAATACCATCTTAACACTGTTTCTCAGAACAGCCAGATTAACATGAAGGTATTTCTTTTGAAAACATGCATTTTGTTAGTGAAGGGAAAGCAAGGAACAAGAGACAGGTAAGTGAGAAATGAAGACCAGGCAGAGATACATATGAGCTGAAAAATAAAGGCCATCTCTCTGTAGAGGAGAGAGGCAAAACAGGCTTGGGTTCTGTGACTTTTATAGGGCAGGTCCAGCAAGCCCCAAGGGCCCTAATGCAAGCAGTTAGTGGTTGGGTTGGTATGAGAGAGTGGTGAGCCTTTCTCAGAAATGCCCTTGGGCAGAAAGCAAAACTTTTTCCTTAAAATGGCCATCCAGATGCTAAGCAAGGACCTTATAGTCAAGTACCTCACTTCTGTGTTTCAGCGTTATTACACTATAATGCTGTGGGCAGTTTCCAGTTCAATGCTTAGTTATGCTGCAAATCACCGGATGAATAAATGACATGGTAACAGGGGATGTAAAGGATGATGGAAAAGCTCCGTAAACTCAACAAGCCAAAACAGCAGGACCACAGCGGCCAGTTGCAGAAGAGAAGGGGGGAGGAGAG